TAAAATCATTCAATTTTTGTATAGATATTTCGATGTTATTGATGTGTACACATGTAATTTACAACTGAACTTAACGATATATTTATTTAAATTTTAGAAAACTAAAAATTAATAACTTGATGTAGACAAACTGTTTTTTCATTTAATCAAGTAATCATACTGAATACATATATGGTATATACTGAATATATATGGTAGTTTAAGTAATCAAATATTATAATATTTTATGTTATAATTATAATAATGTATTTTAAAAGACGCTGTATTCAAAATAAAAATTGTGAAATTGTTTTAAATGAGCTAGTTATATTTTATATAGTAAAAGTAAAAGTAAATTAACAATACATTTAATAACAAATTTTAAATTTCAATATTATCTATGTTTATTTTCTTTATATCATAAATTTAATTCAAATTTATGAATTTTTTTTTTTAATTTGCCTTTGTGCTTACATTACAGCAAAATTTATGAATTATTTTGTTTGATTTTATTGTTTTTTTTTATTTTTAAAAAAATTCGGCTTAGTTTTAAAAAAAATAAGTCATTATTTATTACACATAAATGGGAATTCATAATTATATGCTTTTTATATCTGTAATAATGTTTACAAAATATGTATATTGAAGATCCTCTCAAGATATTATATTCTAAATCTAAAATTTAGCTATTCATTAACCTAACTTGCATATTACATTATTAATACTTTTAGTATGTGTTTTTAACGGTATATGTGTTTAGAATGATTTTTACTATCGCAAATGATGCGATGAAAATTTCAATTATTTTATTAAATTTCTATGGTTTTATAACCGTATAAGTGTGACACTTAAGTCAATATAATAGTTATTGATATAATTGTTCGAAAAGTACGACTTTATGACTAGTGAATTTAACTATAAACATACATTTAATAAAGACGCAAAATGTAAAATGATCATATTAATAATAACTGCTCTAATCATATGTATAGTATTATTATAGTATTATAATTTTTATTATATTATAGGTATACGAGTATATTATACTATTATTGTAGTATTGTAGTAAGAGTATTATTGTTCTAGACAACAAGACCTACTTATTTAAATTTTTTTTTAAATTCAAATGATCTATTGATATATAATAGTTTACGCTACTGTGCTCTTGGTTTATTAAACCGAACATTTTATACTTTTCGAATTTACGGCGGCAGCCGGCATTGGCGGTGGCGATGAATAGGATCCCGTGGAGAGAGATTATAGAGATTTATTTATTAAAATCCTGTCGTAACTTAGAATAAGCGCAAAATTTCATACTATTTTCCATATTCGTTTATTCTGTCTTCTTTACTTTTTTTTTCTGTTGTATAATCAAATTTATTAGTCGCGTTCGCCTCAATTCAAAATAATCATTTTTATTTAATATATTTAATATATTTTTTTTACCATTATTCACGTAATTTTAGTTGACAATACGGCAAAGTATGAAATGTATACACTGCCGTCCATGTGCAACATAATATATCACAATAACGATGACAACTTAGTAGGGTGTTTTGAAATAGGGATTTAGAGATTACGTTATTTAGATATACGTTAGCGTTGCAGACGTAATAGACATAATCCGTGTTTGCGATTTTTCTCATGACGTGCCTGAGATATTATTAAATAGTCGCCAACATTAATAGACATGTGATATTTTACCTGGACTTGGATTACTTATGAGAAAAAACGTCATCATTTGATGAATTGATGACTGCAAAAACGGTTCAAGTAAATTTTTCAACGGAATATTAATTTTATTTTTTATAGGGATTTTCGCAAATATTAGTAAACGAATTAAAAATACTATTATGTCTATAGCAATAATAATATTTAATTAATTAATTTAATCAATCAATTAAATAATAGTTTCTTTTTTTCGGAAAAATAGTATGTAAAGATATCAACAAAGCCAATTTTATTACCTGGTTTTCATATCACATATAAAGTCAGATCATTTACATTTTTTTCTGCACATTTCTATAGATATATAGTGAATTTATTATCAATAAATTATCTGTATTATATGATATCTCATTTTTTATTTTTCATTTTTATTATTATTGATTAGGATTTATTAGATATAATATTATTGTGAATATTTAATTCTGTTAAAAAAATATCGATTTATTTATAAAGTAAAGGTGTGAGAAGAAATTAAAAATGTAGTTAAAAAGTCATGAATATAAAATTATATTGCTTAAAAGAGATAAAATATATTATTATCCGATAAAACATTATTAATCAAATAATATATGAACTTAATTCTAATTCATGGGTAAATAGCTTTTTATTTTTTTGTGTTATAGGTTTAATTTTCCGGACCTTGTGACATTCGCTGAATAATAATTTAAAGGATTTCAAGCGACTTGCTCTTATGAATTAATTTACATAATACGTCGAAAGTAAAAATAGTGATACAATAGACTTATAAAATAAATTCAGGGATCGAAACTTGTTTCTTTTAACTGGTTGAAACGATTTGAATATATATTTTGTAATTTTTAGGATGTAACCTTTATTATGTACTGTAAAAGGTGTTGAGTAAAACCGATATTTGAAACATTTGAAAAAACACCTAATCTAAAATTAAAAAATTTTGATTCAATAAATAGTGATCTATTAGTTAGATTTTTTCATACTGGTACTTATTTAATATTTAAGTTGTAAAAATAATTACTTGATATTGGATGGTTGCACTTATATTGAATCGTGCTAAAAAATATAAATACCAATATCAATCACATTAAAATAATATAGTAAATATGTCGAATGGGGAAAGGAATGAAGGGATATGTTAGGTGATAGGTGATATGTTCTCTTTTCTACCATAATTTTTTCAATATTATGATATCACGTTTTTTTTATCATACCATATATATACTATATACTATAGTTATATTAATATATTTATAGTTAATTTGTAAATATATTGGTATTAAGAGCCATGAGTCATTAAACCACCATATATCTTCCAAAGTATTTAAGTGATTTACAACTGAGCTATTAAATAAGTTTTGAATATTACAGTATTAAAAATCTGAATCGATTTTTGCTGTTTTTGTTCGTCTCCTAATAATATTATTCATCGATTGAAAAACTGTATTATACCTTACTAGTTGAATTACCCGGCTTCGCCCGTATATAGTTTTTGCTTTCTCTAATTAAAGTGCTTAAATCAATACATATTTTTACATTTTAAAGAAGAAATAAATGTATTTTACTAAATTTAATCAAGTGCTAAATAGTATTATTAAAAATATTTCTATAATCCTTATCCTTATATATATATAATAACAGGCCTTTTTTATATCCTAATTTTGTGACGACATTATTTAAAAATTTTCCAATCCCCCATCTCTTATCTTTTAAAAACAAAAAATAAACGGGGGACGTGGTAACACTCAGGAAGGAGACAACTCTGTGAAAAAATGTTAAATAGTGTCGTCACGAAACAAAATTGGAACATAAAAAAGGCCTGCTCTTTTATATGTATATAAATATATAAGGATAAGAATAATTTAAGGTTTTTCGAAATTGTCTTTATTCTCATATACTTTTCGGTTTATTCCCGCAAAAGTTCATCCAATCGTGCAAAGTGCAGTTTGGTAATTTACCAGTCATCGACAATTTAAACTGATTGGATATCAAAAGTCCAATAAAAATCCACCCCATTATTACTGTTTGGGTTATCAGACTATTTAAATAACTATTTAATCGGGTATGTAAAGAAATTATTGTCTTTTTTTTTTTTTATAATAGAAACATTACTGAACACTGTATTTTTGAATTGTGTAATTTAGTATGTCCAGTTTTTACATCGTATCTCTATTGTCTTTTTTTTCGTTGGTATAATTTAACTTTTGGATGCTATATAATTTAACTTCTTCAATTACATCTAAAATGATTTTTATTGTTTGTAGTTTCAAGTTATAACTATTATTATAAACTAGTGTCTATAAAAGTTTTATAAATTTAGTGAATTAATTTATTATTAAACTAATTATCCTAGATTTTTTTCCGATTGAGAGTTCATTATTTTGATTATTTGAATACATAATAATAATAATGTAATGTATAAAAACAATGTACTTGAAAATAATAAAGTTAAGGTTACTCTCTTTTTCACTCAAAAATTACACTTAGATTTAGAATTTTAGTTTTTAACAATCAATATGAATCAATAACTGTATAATTTTGTTTATATATCTGAACATATTTTATAACTTAAAACTGTTCTTCAGAAATTTCAATATGAAGTATATACTCGTACAAAAATTAGTTAGAACAAAATTAAAAAAAAATGAACGTGATAAAAATAGAAAATTTCATAGTATTTTTTGATTATACTCAACGCTACGAGTTTAAAAATAATTGATTTTATTTAAGTTATTTGTGATGTGTAGAATGATGTGTATATATATTTATGAAATAAGAAGTATAAAATTAAATAGGATAAATGTTTTCTTGTCAAAATACATAAACATATACTCCAGTCAAAAGACAATAAAAATGAAAAAACCTTTATTTTCCGGGGATTTTAACATTCCACAATTATAATGAAGATCATGTGAGTCGGGAGAGATTCAACCCTGATTATATCAATAATTTACTATAAAACTATATATATAAACTGGGGGCGTATATCACATTTTGTGATCCTCTTCAGTAGCGTCGTGGGTTCCGAACTATAATCATTTCATCAGTTATTTAGATTATTCACTGGTATTTCGTACTTATATAACCTTTATGAGCAGCGGCGGCTTTTTGAATTTTTTTTGGGGCGTCCTTTTACACTATCTTATAAATATGTATTATAAAACGTGGTAATTACAAGGAAAATATAAATACCTGTTTAGACAATATGTTACAGCTATTGTAATATATGGACATACGGTTGAAATCACCAGATTTAAATATAAGCGTAAGAATATAAAAGCATATTGTACTGAAATTTAATAACTTTAATATGTTTACAGGTGCTTATCACATTAATTGGCGTATTGCTTGCAAATTCGGCTACAGATTATAAATCCTCTAAAGATTGGCTGAACGAAACGCATCGGCAGAGCAACAACAAAAGTCTGAATAAAAATCCTCAAGACTGGTAAGACAGTTTATCTATCTCAAAAAGGAACCATCGTTAATTATATTATGTATTTTCATTTTATATTCCTTTTCTTTTTGTCGAGTATATATTATACTTTGTTAGACTGCCAACACATGCATCTTGGAGTAAATTTATAGAAAGATGCCGCGTAAATGACTAGTTAATATTATAATAGCAGTGTTTAAATTTATCCACGTTTAACGAAGCTGTTCTGCATAACCAGTATGGATGTCATACTCTTACTAATACTAGTAGACTAGTTTCGTATCATTCGTTTTTTTCTTTTTAAAAGATTTTAATAGGTTTAATCCACGTGATATGGTGATAATTTAAGATGGTTGAAATTGGCCCCCTCACTCGGATAATTTTGTGACATAAATAGCAATTTGAAAAACTGACTGGGATTCTTAAAGATTTTTACGTGACAGTAAAACGTTTTTAAAATACGTCGTGTGTTGTATATTTGCATAAAGTCATTCAAAAAATTTTCTGCAATATAAATTATCAATGGTTTCTTCTTAGTCGATCGATCGTGATTTTTTAGAAATCTTCAATCAGCATATGCAAGCATGACCACTATGATATCCAACTGTTTCATTCATAAATAACATACATAAAACAAAAATATTGTAACACGACTCTGATGACCCTTCTAATGGCTCTTTTTTAATAATAAAACCATATAACTGTTCAGGTTAAGCGTAGAAGAAATGTCACTAGAAGAAGAAGTAGCTGATCACCGTTGGTTGTCTAGTCGTAAGAGCCACGAATATCTAGTCTCGGTAGGTGGTCAAGAAGACTGTTGTCCATCACAAATAGAAATGATTGAACCAAATGGTGGAAGTAACCCCGACGGGCTGTACGTTGAGCTTTACAGGTAACTACACGTCGTAAAGCTTTTTTAATCACATAAATTATTGTATGTTTTTATTGAGTTAAATGCAAAAAAATTAATGATAGTTATTTAATTATAAATATAATTTACATAAAAAATATAAACTCGATACAAACGCATTTCTGTAGAAAACTAAAAAAAATAACAATAACAATTTTTCTCACGATAGAATTAATACATATTTATGTAAACTTAAGATAATAAAAGATAATTTTTAATGTCAAAAAGTTTAATAATATTATAATTTAAGTCAAATTTTCTTGGTCAATGTGATAATTAACATTTTGATTTTTTGAGACGGATCTTTTTTGAAAATATTCATAGATAAAATTTGAATAAGGAACCAGTAGTTAATATTTTACTATCTCTTGTTCAAAGTTTCTACTAGTGAAGTAGTGCAAAAACATCTTGTAAATACCTACTGATTCAATTGTCAACTTTTATGCACCGGCATCTTCAAAAAAAAAAATATTATGTTTCAAATTACTATTGATAAATAAAAATATTGTTTGAAAATTAGAAACATTGAAATCTTAAATCACCAACTAGATAGAAAATTATAAAAAATATAGTACACTTATCCAAATACACTTCATTGGCGGTGAAAATGAATGTTATAGGTACGTTGCATTTGAAATTCCCCTGCAGAGTATAAGCCATAACCGTTCGTACAGAAGTAGATTTTGTTGAAAATAATAGTACACCCAGGATTTATTATGCGCTTGTTTTGATTTGTGATTGACTTAGTGAAATGTTGTAAACATTCCGTCGTGATGAAATATTGAAATCCTGTATATACGCCACTGCAGGTGTACGCGTAGGCACAGAAAACTCGAGCTCGAAATCAAGTGTGTGCCAAGATGACCTTTTGTATTTTGCAGTACGTAATACATTACTATATACATATAATGCACTACACCTATAGCACGTAGCATGTATCATTTGTCATTAGTCGAATTTAATGTCTGAGTGCATAGGTGTACGCAACATTACGCGAGCGCATATTTTCTTTCGTGCATCTGCTCTGCATGCATCATCAATTTGTTTTATGGTAAGTATAAAATGAATACCTCAAAGTCAAGAAATAACATGTACGACGTATTAAACACTATTTTTGAATTCCTCTCTGCTACATCGAGTTCAATACTATCGAAAAATGGAAATTAGTTTCAAGCTACGTCTTGGCTATACACACATATTAAACGGTACTAACGTATTGCGCACGTAATTTATTTACAATGTAAATCGATACTCGCGGACGCGATGAACTTTACGTACATTTAATACCCAATACGATTTGATTACGACCGAAAAAATAAAAAACCGACGGAATTAAAAAAAAAAAAAAAAACCTGGTGAACTATTTAAATACTTCGGTTTTAACGTGAATGGAAGACAATCATCGTAGATTATCGTTGTGGGTAGGGGGGGCTCCAACGATGATCCCGTTCCGGTTCATTCCAGTCGTGTGTGGTGCGTGAAGTGATCAGCTGCCCGTGTCGTTATCGTTATTTTCAATCGGTAACACCACCAAAATTACACCGAGACCATTCAACAACGTGCCCGAAGTGGAAACGTGTTAAATATTGTATCATGCGTCGCGCGCAACGGGTTCGCGTCCACGTTTAACCATACGTGTAACGTGTAGTTTATATGAATATCACGGTTATGGTTACCACGGTGTGTGTGTGTGTGTGTTTATCAATATGTTGTCTTGCACGTGTCCTCGCGTTGTCAGTGTTTACGTGTATACATGAACTTATATTTCTGTAGGTGTCCTGCGCAAAGGACATGTATTTATGCATTTATATATATATATATTTCACGCGTTCGCGTTAAACACGGAAAAGCTTGTTCGGATAAACGCCGTCGGCATCATAACTCTACGCGCACTGTACGAGATATCCGCTCACACGTGCTGTCGAGAGATTTGTACCGGTGCCGAGACATGTATTATAATTGTACGCGTCTTCTCAGACGACATGCGTGTACACGGGTACTTGCACAGTGTTTTTATGCATACGTAATATGTTATCGAAATCGCGTATGGCAATATTATTATAATTATATTCAGTGTTCGTGGCCACCGCGCAGGATCACGCTGTGCGAGATTGTACGCGCGCGTTCCACGTGACCGCCGTGACGAGTTTCCCAGATTCTTCATATTGTACATTGTAAGATACCTTGGTTGTATACTATTACGGTTCCGTGGTGATTCGAGCGACTCCTTGAAATAGGTAGGATACGTTAAAATAAAAAAAAAAAAAATTACACTCAAGACATCGTCGAAAGTCGTAACAGTTTCAATTTACTTTCTTTGCTTTATGCACAAGTAGTGTATGTAGAATCTGCAAAAAAAAATTTGTTACCACGTTGGGCGTATACTATATATAATACGATAATACAGTAGGGGTCACCAAACTGAATGGATTCTAACCAACCCGCAGACGTTACAAGGAAGGGGAAAAGCCGATGGTTGATATTATGAAAAATATTTATACAGTAGTTACTCGATTAATCGAAATTCAGGAGAACGAGCTAAAAATTCGATTTATAGAAGTTTTCAATTTACCGAGTGTTCAAATATTCGAAAGAAAAAAATTAATTTGAATTAAAGAGAGGTAAAAAATTGTATACATGTATTAATATTACGTTTATTTTGTTATTTATCAATTTATCAATTATATTATTATATGTTCCATATTAAAAAAAATCAGTTTTTTTTAATAAATTCTTGGCCACAAACTGGTCCATAGCGTTGTTTAACTTACTAATAGTATTGAAAATGGTATCGCATCTTCCTTTGTCCATTTCAGGTTGTTCAAAAAATTGACGCTATTCTAACGTAAAAGATTTTACTTATTGATAAAATTATACGATTAAAGTCTAGATTAGATAGATAAGGTACGATAAACTATGATATTATTTAACTGTCGTCATTATTAGTTTCATAACGAATACATCAAATAGATTGTATATGATTCTATAGATATGAACATATAATTGCGTTTAAAATTTGAATTGTAGAGTGTGTCTCACTAACAGAGATTTTGAATTATCGAGGGGACCGGAATACGTATATTTTCTTCTAATTTTAGAGGTTTTCTCAGAGGACTAAGAATTTAGTTCAATTTGTAGAGTTTTTTGAATTATCGAGATTCGGATTATCGAGTAACTACCGAGTTGATTTTTATTTTTGTATTGTTTCACGGTATATTTATTAAATTTGATCAGTTTTGGTATAATTTATGTTTTATAAATGTATTTGATCGTGTATATATGGCATATATACATTATTTTTTTAATAGAGCTATGTCGATCGGGTTTATTACAATATTATGATATATGATTATGTTATAAATATGAAATTTGAATTTTGATCGAGAATTTCTCGATTCTCAAAGTGGCATATGGAAAGTGTTTATTGGTGACACTTAGTGTATACAGTATACATAAATGCGAGTTTTTTTGTCGGCGACAAACGAAAGCAACGTATTGAACAAGCAATTTGCGTTCTTTTTAAAGTTTAGCGACTTGTTGAAACGATCAATGTCTGCCATACACATCCGTATACTTTGTTATTTTTTTGTCGAACGTTTTATTTTTAACTATTTAAAACTCGACGGTTATTAACTGTAGTGTAACGGAAATATTTACGTACGCAACCAATTGTAACAACAAAGTCCGTATTTATAATTAGTACCCACTGTACCTAATTATGTAAACTTCAAATTGTCTTTTTATAATAATAATATGAATATATATTAATTGATCTAATTTAGTGAAATGAATTCTGAATGGTCTAGGAGAAATATGAAGTAAACATTCATTTCTATTGATCGTTTTACAGGTCGGAGGAACAGTGTGGTTCATGCATATCAGGATACTTATTGATCACCACCTGCACAATTATGCATGTCAGAGTACCTATTCATCACCACCTGCACAGTTATGAATATAATATATGAGTCATATTTTAAAATGTACATATATATGTATACTTGACCTAATCTATTCAATAGAAAAAGTTTGATTATTTTCCAAGTACGATTTTTACTTCAAAGCCAATCATATAAATTTGTAATATAAGTATATAAAAAAAAAAAAAATATAGGAACGCATCAAAAAAATAATTTTAGTTTTGATAACAGAAATCTATGTAAATCGATTAATTAATAAAGCATTTGGATTCAAAAATTCAATTGACATTTAAATTCCTTACTATTAACGATATAACCAGTATTATACTTCGTATCAGTTACTTCACTATGTTGATAGATATTTCTTTAAAGTTAGAATATATGAAATACGCGTGTTTAAAGCTTGACGTGTATAGATTTATTTAAATATGCGGACTATCTTTCTTGTTTTATTAAAAAAGTGTTTTCTACGTACGTAAATATTAACTTATAAGTTATTTATCATAATATATTATTTATTTTCCCATCAGAGTACATTAATTTATACACAAGTACACAAACACACTGCATTATACTGCAATGTCAAATATTTAAAATGCTAAATAATATTATTCATTTAAATTACACAATATATATTATTATATGTACAGTATGTAAATAAAATAACAATAAATAATAAAATATTATTATAATTTATAATCGAAACGTATGTACCTGTTTATATTTTATTTTATTACGAATCTATCTAATACATATTTATGTTTTTAATGTATAATATGATTAAATAAAAATAAATAAATATTAACATAACTTTATTTTTATTTTCCGAGACTAATTGTAAACTAATCATCTAGTGTCTGGATACTTGCGATTTATGAATGTAGGTGTTATCCATCATACTCAAATATCTTATTATTTATCAAGCAATCGGCAAATAAATAATTTATTAATCCAACACCCATTGAATACATATTTTCTTTACTCTTATATATTAATTTAATATATGATACCTAATTGTTCGAATATATGTTTTATTTTTTTAAATAATTGATATAATTTATTATTGTTAAAATCGTTCGTTGTAGAAAAGGAGAAGTGAAATTTAAACTATGTTGACTTATTTATTTTTAAAATTATGGTAGGACGTGAAATTAAATTATTATTCCTTAACAGATGCTTCGGTTTGAATAAAATGCAATTAAAACATCGGCATTATTTATTACTATTTCACTATGCTTATCATCATTCAATATAAAATAGTGAAACCGGATTAGAAACCAGTACCGAAATACTTCTATCAGAACTATTTTTTAATTTTTTTTTTTTTGATAATAAGTCAAAATTTCTATACCTATCTGAGGTGGGATGTATCTTTTTTTTTGTATATCAGTGCCTATTTTTTAACCATTATTCGTCTTGAAATACTTGAAAGCCGTTAGGAATATTATTAATAAAGTACAGAAACATATCTCCAACATTAAAATAATATATTCAAATAAAAAAAAAAATATAAATCTATGGTACTTAAATATTTCTGGATTTAATCTTCTTATACGATGATTACAATAAAAAGCGTTCAAAAAGTCGGCCGATAAACTTAAATCACTGCAGAGTGTACTAAAATAACAATGATTTATCTTAAGCTACTGACATAGTGACACGTATCTTTGATTAGGATTTCATTTATTACGATTCACGATATTAAGCGCTAAGTAAGCTTGTTAACTAACATATTTGTAACGAGGAAGAGACATAGACCGCATTACGGCCCAGTGACGTGAATAAATGTACATACATTTATATATATATATATATATATATATATATATATAAGGACTATGGTTCGGTGGTACAAGATTTCTGAAAGTCCCCTCTTGAAGTAACATTAACCATTAAGTTATTCAATAGTTATCGAAAGTCAAATGTATTTTATTACTATCAGTCGTTGACACCATTCGACACTTTTACAGTTTCCGGTTATGCTTTAACCGGTTTTAAAATTCAAACGTTTCATTTTAGTATATTTTTATTATATTCTTCTGATCACCCATTATAATCCGAATAATCATATACAAATGAAATTCGGCCAATTTTTATTTTATACTAATTACAACGTGTGAAAATGTATTCTAAATTTTAATTTAAAATTTGCAAATATTTCTAATTTTCAAGCAGAATTTATTAAGATCTCATTGTAAATTTCATGTTTTTCTGTGATGTAATGATGTACATTTTCTTTCTTCGTTATACTTCAAGTCAAGTGTTCCACATGTAAAGTTTTTGACTCAGTAGATTGGAAATCAGATAGCTAATTGTTCAAAATAATAGTTGAAATTCCAAAATTAGTTTTATTCGAAAATCGTATAATACTATGTACCATAACATCTTGTATTTCTTAGTAGAATAATGTCTTAAGATAACTATTCGAATCATATCAAGAACAGTTGTTATTAAGTTCAATATGATAGCAATCACCTATCCCTTATAGCCAAGTGACGATCGATAGTTTTTTTTTTTTTATTCAAAATCGAACTAAACTATAACTATTATGTGTGATAGCTTATATGATTTGTATATTTCTAAGTTATAAATCTGTAGTTCAACTTTTATGAAACGTTTATATGTATAGCTCATGTTAGGTATTTAGTATACAATGACATGGCGATTCATTTCATCTAGATTTGTTTAAATCCGATCAATCATTCTGTAGACACAGAGCTTGATATATCAAGACTTAATAAGTATTGGATAACTGTCCATTTTTTTTTCACAGATTTCTGTTGTTTTCGAAAATTTGGAGTTTGAAAAATCACCTCTCAAAAAGACCACTTATGTTCAATTTGTATATGCAGACACAAGAATACTTTCCGAGTACTGATTCTACTTAAAAATATGGGAACGTATGAAACTAAAAAAAAAAAAACACATCATTGTATAATACCAATACATTTTTCACTTCGCTCAGAATTTAAAACTTGTTTATAGTAAAATAAAAATAAAAAAATAAACTGTAACTAATAAATCAGACCTGGCGGAGCGTAGAGAAATGATTTTAGCGTGGGAAAAACATGGTCATTTTTAAGATAATAATCGTGATGATCGAAGTGGTTTGTTTTGTAGCCCCATCGTTATCGCGGAGGTGCTCGTCTTTTTGAAACCTAATCGAATATCATTGCAGCCGTGCTACTTCGAACGTAATATTTTCGCAAAATGACTATACGGTTTTATGGGTTCCATTATGGTTTTGGCCCGACAGTGGCGTTATCTTATGCACGTGTACATCGGGTCGACGCGAATAACGTAAACTCGTCGAATATATTTGTTTGTTTTTTTCCTCGCAAACGTTATCCGTATACATTCCGAGTTCAACAAAAATTGATTAATGCGAAGGACGCGGTACCAACTACGGTTTCAGTAAATTATAATAAACGTACAATCGTTTAATCGCTGGTGGTATGAATACATATAAACGTAATATTATGATACGTCGTACGTGATCGTTTTGTTTTTATCTGTCAGCGTGACGACACACGAGGTCTGCGCGTATTACTAACGTATTCGTTCGATTGTTTACATGTACAGAGTACTTCATGCACCAGTCGCGCGATAACCGACTTCAGCGGGACTTGTGTAATAATTACGACATAAATAAACATAACAATAAACCAAACGATTAATAACAAACGCGTTGTAATTAAGGTGTTTTTTTTTTTTTTTTTATGACTTCGATTATTGGTGTAGGACGGCGCATCGAGATTAGTTATCTCCGCGCGCACGGGTAGATATTACGGTTTCGAATAGGTACGTCTAGAAAGCGTATATATTATTATGTGAACATATAAAACTATATTGTACACACATACGTATATCTGTGGATACATTTTATAGGCTCACTTGGTACGGTTGGCACGATTGTATAAATTTATAACCCCGCGTAGAAAATCCGAATAAAAAGTGTTTATTTTTTTTTCTATACAGTTTCATATTACGGTTTGACAAATATATACAACTTAAATTCGTTGTACACTCTTATATAAGATGATAAAAAAAAAAAAAAACCTATTTAAAACAAATGTATTTAAATTAGAAAGCTAGTGGACGAAATAAAAGAATATATTAAAATATAAAATATGGAACAGAGAAATATAATTAACAGTCAGACGCGTAGAGACGAAACTTTCAACAGCGTAGATAATGTGCTCGGCGATTTAATGTCGTGAATATTTGCTTTATATTGCCGAAAGGGTAAAACGGGGAGAACATAAGTCCTCGGAGGCATTTCTGGGAACGGAAAGAGAGAACTTTGAACAATAATATACCGATACGAGCAAAGGAGATGGTGATGATGATTTCGTTTCCATACGAATAAAGTGGCCCAACTGTGTACGAGATCGAGAAAAATAAAACGTTATTTCGACGGTACCTCGTTTTCAGTATTGTTTTTTATGTATATTTCCGAAAACGTTTATAACCACCACAGTCATCGGGTAAGATGTACGCGGTGTAATGGACGAGATAAAAAAACGGTTTTTTTTTGTTTTTGTTTTTTTTACCGACTTCCTGGCGTTTAGCCAGCGGGTAGGCTAGCGGTAATGGTCGGGCCTACCTATTTTTCAAACACGGAAATGAATATTATTATTCTTATTTTCGTCGGATATCGGCGCGAAACAAAATCCCCGCTCGCAACACAGCCGCCCACTCAAACAGATTAGGACGTGCACGCATATATTCGTGTATTAATCATCCGAGTGCCTCGGCGCATACGAACACGATTACGGGTAAGAGATGAGTATTTATCAGGCTCTGCCCTCGAATCCTCGACCGATGTCAATTGCATCGTGTGCAACACGCACGCGGTAAACGTTCCGGTCGGTTTGGTGGCCCGGGGCCACCGCGATGTACATGAACTCGGTCGGACGCCACCCACACTCTTCGTTGGCCGAAAGGTTTTCGGGCTCGAGCACTGCACGTGCATTCGAGGACCCTTTAATCAGGTCCCTGGAAGCGTAGGTTTTTTTTTTTTTTTTTTTTTTTTCCGTTACCGATCGGGATCGGATGACGCGCGGACGCGGCGAAATAACAATGCAATTGCACCGCGCGAAACGTTTTACAACGCCGTATCGATACTGTTGTTTCTATCCCGCGTCAGATGTTCACAATAATACCTTTGATAACGATGAAAACGTTTGTATTAAAAATTTTACGCGCACGTGTTGCAGTGACGGCGCGGACAAGCAGAGGTTCTACGAGGTGTCGTGCAAGCCGGGCGTGGAGGGCAAACCGTGTCTGTTCATGGAGCGCAAGTTGCACGGTCTGTCGACGTGCGTGCAACGGTTCTCGTACTCGTACGCGATCGTGCGCGAGGAGAACGCCCGCCACCACCACCATCACCACACGGGCTACAACAACGGCAACAACAACAACAACAACAACAACAACAACAACGGCAAACAGACGTTCCAGTCGTTGTTCCCCAGCGACAGCAACGTTTGGAAATTGGATTACATCAAGGTGCGCAGCGGATGCGCGTGCATGGTGCAGTCGCCCAAGAAAAAGCAGCAGAAGCAGAGGAGGAAGAACGGTAGCGCGGGAGGGGTTAGCGGCGGCGACGGCAAGAGGTCGCAGTAACGACGGGCGCGACGGCCGATACGAGACGATGACGCCACGGCCAGCGCCACCGCTTCCGCCGCCGCCGCCGCCGGCACGCGGTCGTCGAGCACGGTGTGTTCCGCGAGTCCTATTAATAAAACGATGACGACGAAAAAACAACCCTTTTCGTACACCGCACGCGATGTGATCAAAACGGTATATAATATTAGTTATTTCGTCGTCGCCTCGTCCAGTTTACGCATTAAACAATAATATATTATTAATTATATAGTACGCGTTCAATATGTATCGTATACAATATTAAATTTATACGAAATGCCGCTCTGCATTTTTTTACTCGCCCTCTCCCTCCCGCTGCCCCCGCACAACACCAAACCTTTATTAATTTATTATTTATTATTTTTTTTTTTTTTTTTTACAAACACTTTTTTGTAATCGCACTTTTTTCTTAGTTTTCTTTAGCTGAACAAAAATCACTCGACATAATTCAATATTGTATTATATGATATGAATAATAATAATAAAAAAATCAAAAAAACCGGTGAATTTTTTACACACTGATTTCCCTCTCCCTGCTGCTCCCCACATTCGAGCACTACACGTCTTCCTTCCTCCTCCTCCTGCTCCCAGCCCATCACCATCACCACTAGCGCTTTCACGTCCCGTACACACCACTTTGTAACCGAATAAACCGTTATTCATAATATTTCTTTTCTTCAAATATACTTAATAATACATAATATGTATATATAGCAAGCGGTTATTATCAATATATATATTTATATATAGTTTACATATAATATAATGTACCATTTTATAGTCATTCGAATGTTACCTTAGGCTTATGAATAGGTAATACTGTTAAGTAATTATGACTGCTTCGCAACGATACGTACATAATAAGTGCATATTAAAATATAAAAAACAATAATAATAAATGTTTCTTTTATAATGTGTATACTCGTTACCCTGATACATAATTATCATCTTCGGATGAATTACATGTTAATTTTTTCCTTTTTTTTTTTTCTTTCTCTTTTATCAAACAACAGCGCGCTACATCGTCTCCTTATTATAACGTACTACTGCTTAATACGCTTCCAAATTTATACCATTACTATCATATTCTTAGGCACCCGCATTATTATTAACAATTCTTTTTCGTCGTTCTGTTGCATATGTATATCATCACGATGCTAATAATAATAATATAATTAGATATATGTGTTTTTTTTTTTTTTTTTTAAGTAGGTACATTTAAGTGTATATATACACCATTATTATGTACATACATATTTTATTTTATGTTTTGTTAATACTATTGCTGTGTTGAGATAGTTCATATACAATTGTATTTTTTTATTTTGTTTATATATTTATTTACTATCACTACTACTACTACTACTACTACTACTATTGCTACTACTACTACTGTAATATTATACATTAGGTATAATGGTTTGACGATATTTTTATTGTATTTGTATTTTTTCAATGATTCTTTAAATTTTGGTTCGTAGCTTATAGGTACAATATTAACGACTCCATTAAGCTGTTTTCGCGTTATGTTGCATCATTTTAAACGTTACATAATGGAGATATTACATAACCGATGTCAAGTACACATACACATACGCACGCATACATATTAACACACCACAATACATATAAATATTATATTCGAGTTTTAAGCACAGATACAACTAAAAACGTATACTAAATAAATATTTTTTTTATTATTTATTATAATAGAATTTATAAAGACACAATACGCGCGCGCACGTGTGTGTGTGTGTGTGTATGGAATTTGTGCATAAAAATAAAAAAATTAATAAGCTGTTCGCTAATAATTATTCTAGTACATAGCTTCAAAACTTTAACAAATAATTTTATTTGGTCGTCGTTCAATTTTCTTCCAATGTATCTAATTACATCTATATTGTTTAACGTGCATATTTGGTAATCGGAATTATTGACGAATAAAATTCCACGCAATTATAATAATAATATAACATACATTTATATACGTTTGAATGATCATACCAGATTCGAAGTTGGTCACTAGCCAAATTCATGTACTGTATAATATACCCGTTACCTAGAATTTCGCGTGAGACTGTTTTTTTTTTTTTTTTTAATTGTATAAATTCTTTTAGAATAGTTGTTAAATAGGGACAAGAACAACAAAAATGTGTATTAATAAATAGACGGCGTTTCATGTATGCAGTTAAATCGACATTTGTGTCGTCCAGAGATTATTAGGAGCAACAACGTAACCGTTGTTAAAATCAACATTGTAACTAAATACCGACGTTATTCTTGTACCACAGTAACCTAATATATACCAATAATTTAAACAAAAATAATAATATAAACCATGCACGATTTATATTTATATTTGATAATTAAAACTTAAACGCACTTTTATAATTTAATAAATATTTCGTAAATCGTTTATGTGTTTTTTCTTCATCCTTGATAATAGTATGTTTACCGATGAAAAAATTATAATATCTTTGTTTTGAAGAACGGGTAAACGGTAAGAATGATTTTTTAATATAATTAAATCGAAATTTAAACATTTTTCGAAAAATATTCAAAGAAACAGATGCACATAATTATATTTATATTCTTATATTCTAACATATTTGTATACTTTCTAAGTGTATACACTTTGTTAGGGTTCGATTTTTAAATTTAAATTTCATAAGAAATCAAATTACGAAAATCGAATTTTATGCATTTCATTTTTTAAGTATGTCGATACAATTACTTCATTTTTGAAAATGTAGTATAGAAAAAAAGTAAATAATTCGGCAAGACTGCGAGTGAACTGTTTTCTATTGAATCAGGATAATTAATAAATACTTGTTGTCTTCATAAATCATAGTGAACTTTCGGGTTGTTTACATTCATTAGAGTAGTATAGCAGCCAGGTACATCTGCAGTGTCTCACAACTCATATTGTATTTATCTTGAAAAAATTGTTTCATACATTAGTATTTATGAAAATAATCTCCATAGAATTTTAATTTGTTTAACTTCTCGGTAAATACTAGAAAATAATCTCCGTTATAGAAGACAAATTGGCGAATTATCTTTTTCTTTAATGTATTCGTCTCATTCCCTTATACTGTGGCAGTACCATTTCAAAATCTATAAACGTTTGTTAAAAAATTATAATTATAAATTATAGACATTTTTTCTCGGCCTCCCACTAATCTCGGAAATTTTACAAATTAGCTGTTTTCGTATAACATTATCTAGACAGAAATAGAATAAAATCTTATAATTAATGATGTCCGTTGATATGGATACTGCATAATATATATTCGATCGTTAGAATTTTCGAATTTTTAGAAAAACCGATTTCAATAGATATCGAAAGTTGGTTTCAATCTCAAGCCAAAAATTGGATTTATGGTCCGAAAAAACTGTCGAACGGTATTATAAGGCTGGGTGACAAAGAAATTAAATTCATCGATAACACAGTAGTAGGATGCTTTGGTATGCTCTAGAACCACCTCCTCCTCAACGGTAAAATAGAAATCCACTCGTGAATACCTCTCGCGGTAAACTCTCTAAACAATATTTCACACAAATATATCATTATTTTATATCGGAAATATAAATTATGAATAAATTAATTTTGTCGATAGTTCCAAGTATATTGCATATTAAAACGTAAATCTAATACTATAAACGGACGACTTTATTCATGGAAAAAGAAATTACATTTTTTTCACTTAAAAAGATCTTACATAAATAAAATAATATATTACATTAGCTAAATAATACTATTGTGGTTTATACTACGTTTAACTGTATAAGTAATAATATGTTTTTGAGTATTGTTTTCTAGAGCAATGATAAAGATAATTTTGGAATATCAAAGTATATTGTTTTTAATGCCAATATTGTAAGTATACTATTCTATAATGACATATAAGTATCATATATTTATTATATTATATTATATATTTTTTAGGGAATCACTATGCTTTTTTAAATTTTTAGGGCATTCTTTACCTATTTCTCGTATTATAAGTAAAAGAATTTACTTCATTAAATTAAGTCGATGTACAACCGTCGATAATTTAAGTTTCAAAAGAAGCTCTCAGTTTACAGTGTAATACTGTAATGTAAATGTAATTTTATTTTTTATAATTATTTTTTTAACGTAGGTACCATTACAATTTTCCATGATAATTTGAATTTATTTAATAAATAATGTATTTTTGAAAGCGCAATTTTTGATATTTTACTTTATTTGACATTTTAAGACATTTTTTTTTAGAGTTTTTAGGTCATAAATACATTATTTTAAAGGTAATTTTTCGGTATTTTTTAGAGCATTTATTTCTGAGCTCTTGGCATTTTATGAGAGGCACTATTTCAGACTGTTTTGGGAATCGTCTAGTATCTAAATTTATGTCATATTAGATTCAATTATGCATCATCAATGACTAAAATGGGCATTAAATTTGATCGAAATGGGTGGTTTATTCAAATTTACCATCTATAGGAAAAATATTGGATATTGCATATAAATGGTCTCAACTTGGACCTTATGGACCTTAGGAAGTCTACAGACTGCCTTGGAACCCTTCTGGATGGTCTAGGATCAAAAAAAAAAAATAAGTTTTTATACAAGTCTCATAATTCCTAATTGACCGTCCTACATCGGTTAAGTTAGATCCTTCGTCTTTGTGCTGTATGGGTATTTAAGATTTTAATTTATTAATAAAAATAATTAAATTGTTATGGGAGCACCTAAGCTAAAAGACGTTAAAATAAATATCACTAAAATATTGTGGAGATTGCCTATAGTCAAGGTCAGTAATTTCAAAAAAAATACAGCTGTTAAAAATAGTAGACCATCAGAAACCTCTAAAATGTGCGTTTAGACCGTGGGAGTTGTGTGAATACCAATTTTTGCCTCAAAGCACTTCGCATTCATGGAAGAAAAAAGTAAAAAAAAAGAAATAAAAAGTAAAAACATCTAACAAATTAGAAAAACCTCGATATGTAGTATTCGAATTTCAGGCTGATAGGAAAAATAATGCGAGTAAACTATTGTCATATTTTGATCATTGTAGAATTAAAAACTTGTAGGTTTATTCAAATTCAGAAGTATTTCTTTATGAGAACTACATAACTATATTATACATTACTTGATAAATAACAAAATATCTTAAGTCAAGTGTTTCACATGTATAGTTTCTGACTCAGTAAATTGGAAATCAGATAGCTAATTGCTCAAAACAATAGTTGAAATTCGAAAATTGTAATAAATATGTATGTTATAATATAAATATACATTCAATCGTTTCGTTGTATTCGCGCAGTTACCAAGGGAAATGTCGTGATTTCTTCATCATTTATAATACTACGGTTTAACATAATATAACCTTGACGACGTAAACGAAAAACATTGGTCCACGCACGGGAATAAGCCATTATAATAAATAATAGTAATAATATAATATAATGTATATGTAGATATAATATAATATATATAGATATTAAATCGGCTGTCTTGACATCACAACACAAATACTAAAATCTAACGTTGATAATAACATACATCTGCGCAAAGACATATTATACGACTTGGATAATTATATAAATTATCGCAAATAATATTACCGCATGCGCATGATAAATCAATCGTCTGCGTGTATATACAATATAATGTAATTGTATGATTATTATAAACAATCAGCAAATATGTAAAATACAAAAAAAATTTCAGCAGATAATGATGTGCATATATACTGTACATTACGAGTGTGTTATATTTTATACTACCTATTTAGTCGGACAGTTATTTTGGAAAAATAAATTAAATTGGTTTTTACGAAACATAATTGCTACCACGTTCTTCGAGTATTTATTATTGTTATTTATAAGGTTTTTATTTCATTATGTCTA